GGGGGGGGGTCATGGAGGACAGGAAACAGGCTGGGGGGACAGGGAGATGTCACCGGGGACATTGGGGACACCATGGGGACATGGGGGGACAGGAGCATCCCGGGGGGGGATCCCGGAGACCCAGCCCGTCCCGGGGGGAGGGGGACACCGGGGACAGTCCTGGGGACAATCAGAGGATCGGGGAGGACAACGGGGACATTGTGGGGACCAGGGACAGGGCGGGGACCCCCCCATCCCCCTGGGGACCCCCGCGCTGTCCCCCCCCGCACCTGCCAGCCGCCCCAGGCCGCCATTGCCCAGCCCCGCGTCCTCCTCGATCTCCTGCAGCTCCTCCATGTCCAGCCCGAGCTGGGGACGGCGACAGCACAGCAGGGGTTGGGGGGACCCCAAAAATGGGGGGGGGACACCCCAAAACCTCCCCATCCCCCTCCCTCCGCCCGCTGTCCCCTCTCTGCCCCCCTCAATCCCCCAACAAATCCCGCCCCCTTTAGGACCCCCAAAGCCCCCCCAAACCCCCACCTTGAGTTTCTTCTCCTTATAGCATTGCTGGCTCTGCAGCCCCCAGACCCCTTTGGGACCCCCAAAGCCCCCCCAAACCCCCACCTTGGGGTCCTTCTCGTAGTAGTACTGCTGTGTCCGCAGCCAGCGCCCCACCAGGTGGTCGCGCACGGTGTGTGCCAGCGCCATGTAGTAGTCGCGCGATGTCGCGACATTGCGGTCCTTGACGAGGGTGAAGTGCAGGTGCCGGTTGAAGTTGCGCTTCAGCTCGCCCACGTTCTCGGGCCCCGCCAGGCCCCGCACGCTGATCTGGCGCCGCCGGTCCTCGTCGCTCAGCGGTCGCGACATGGCGACACAGATGGGGGGGGTGGCTGGAGAGTCAGGGGGGCTTTACGGGGATGGGGAACTCCGGGGGGTCCGGTTTTGGGGGGTCCGCAGGGATCCGCGTTGGGGGAGTCCGGAGAGCTCCGGGTTTTGGGGGGTCCGGGCTGCGGGGGCTCCGGAGGGCTCCGGGTTTTGGGGGGCTCCGGGTTTTGGGGAGGGGTCCGCAGGGCTCCGGGTTTTGGGGAGGTCCTGGGGGGCTCCGGGTTTTGGGGGTTTGGGACTTGGGGGGCTCCGGGCCGGGGGCGGCTGCAGCGGCGCCCCGGGCGCTTTGAGCTAGCGGCTGATTCCATATTCATGAGGGGGGCGGAGCCAGAATGGAGCCACGCCCCCATCACCGTCGCGCAGGGTAATTATTCATAAAGAGGCGGAGCCCAAGGCGGGTAATACAATTGGTCGTTAATTATTCATGAGGGGCGGAGTCCATTGCGGGTAATACAATTGGGGGGGGGGGTAAACCAGTTCACAAGGTGGTCCCGGGGGGTTTTGGGGGGGGGGCACCCCAAAATCCATCAGTTCATGGAGGGGGGAGCTCCCCATGGTGGAACAGCCCATGGGGGGGCAGGGGGGAGGGGGGCGGAGCCAGAATGGAGCCACGCCCCCATCACCGTCGCGCAGGGTAATTATTCATAAAGAGGCGGAGCCCAAGGCGGGTAATACAATTGGTCGTTAATTATTCATGAGGGGCGGAGTCCATTGCGGGTAATACAATTGGTCGTTAATTATTCATGAGGGGCGGAGCTTGAGAGCGCTGACAGCCACGCCCCCACGCCCGACAGCGCCCCCTGCTGGCCGCACACTCCCCTGCCCCCTCCCCAAATCGGGGGGTCCCGAACGCCCCGGGGGGAGGGGAGGGGGTCCCGGGGTGTGTCCCCCCATGGAGGGGGGAGCTCCCCATGGTGGAACAGCCCATGGGGGGGCAGGGGGGGCTCCCCACAATGGATCAGTCTGGGGGGGGCTCCCCGGTCTTTTGGGGAGGGGGGGTCCCCACAGTTCATCAGTCTGGGGGGGCTCCCCGGTATTTTGGGGAGGGGGAGCTCCCTGTGATGGATCAGTCCTCAAAGGGGGGGGATCCCCTGATGTCAATGTTTTTTTTTTGGGGGGGCCCCACAATAAGTCAGTCCTGGAGGTGGGGGGATCCCCCGATGTCGGTGGGGTTTTTTTTGAGGGGGGGTCCCCACAATGAATCAATCCTCAAGGGGGGGGTTCCCCCCATTGAATCAGTCCTGGGGGGGATCCCCTGATGTCGGTGGTTTTTTTTGGGCCCCCGCCGCACCCCCCCCCGCCTGCTGCTGCCAGGGAGGGAGGGAGGCGCTGCCAGCGCTCGTGGTGGTCGTCGTATCTGTGGGTTGGGGGGGAAAGAAAGGGTTAATTAGCGCTGGGGGTTAATTAGAGGAAGGGGTGAGGCATGCCGATAGAGGCTGAGCAGCCTGGGGTAATTAAATGGGGTGCTAATTAAGGGTAGAGGGGGAGGTGAAGGGGGACAGGGAACCCCTAAAAGGAACAAGACCACCCCCCCCAACCACAGCCCAGCCCCAGGGGGGCTCATTTGGGATTTGGGTTAATTAGCGGGGTGTTAATTAAAAGGAAAACTCATTTGTGTGGGACAGCCCTTCATTTCCCAGGAAATCACAGGGAATGAACAAACCCCCCCGAAGGAACGGGAATGACCCAAACCCATTAAATAACCCCAAAAT